GCATTTGCTAAATTGTTATATGAGAGTTTTCTAATTGAGAAACATCGGTTGAAAAGTGAGCAAAACAGTAATTTGCTGCTGGCCCTCGCCAGCAGTCATTCTTGGCTTCGGGCCTCCTCCGGACCTACGACAAAATTTTTCTTCCTTCCAAATCCGCTTAGGTATGGGTCTGTATAGATTATCGAAATTTAATGAGAACCATTGAGTAGTCCGTCATGCTGAAACATTGTAGCTTCGGAAATGGACCTAAAAACACAAAATAGCAATGTCCTCGACAACGGATCTCACGATTTTGATGGAGACCCTCTCCTTAAACAGAAGAGCGGTATGCACACTGCAGGATATTCTTGTTGTTCGGTAGTCAGTCGAGCAAAAATCGATTTTGTTTCAAACGTGTAACGTCGAGCTGACGCGTGTGCAGTGATTGCCTTGGTTTTTAATTACAGCAATGAGCTTCCTAATAGACTGTTAGGCCTTGTGAAAGCGAAGAACGGGTACTTCTGCTTCTGAATAGTGTGCGTTAGTCTGTGTGGCTCTAGAAACAAACGCCTAAAGCCACTTTACATCTGTCGGAGGCCAATTCAGTATATTCAGACCGAATGATATAAATTCTCATAGTTAATTGGGTCTGTTGAGCACAGAGTCAGGGTTGAACTGAGAGGTTCAGTAACTTGAAGTCCTTGAAGTGGAACTGTTTCATCAGTTTCCACAGATCAGAGTCACATTCGCCATCAGAGTGAACCTTCGCCTTGTCGCTGCTGCAGGACTTGACCCACCCCTGCACTTACCGGAACGCCCGTTTCTTCTGCAGCTGTTCAGTTCGTACAGACACAGTGTATTTAGGTTCTGGACGTTTCGTACGACGTTGGTAACATTTGAGGTTCTTTGGGCTGTGTGGCTGGGTTATGATGAGACCGTGTAATTTGGCAGACCTCTACCGACGTTTCGCATGAGCTCCAAGGTGGAGACATGACTCCGAAACGTCGGTAACGTTACGTTACGTCCCGATGAGCTCAAGCGGTTAGTCACTGGCTTCCCACCGCGGCGGCCCGGGTCTGGTCAAGTGGGATTTGTGGTGGACAAAGTGGCTCTGGGGCGGGTTTTCTCCGAGTACTTCGGTTTCCCCTGCCAATCTTCATTCCACCAAGTGCTCCACAATCACCCTCACCTATCATCTGGGGCTGGTACAATAGACCAGAAGTGGCCGCAGTACTAGGGACTTAGTCCCACCCCATTAGCAATAAAAGAAAGACGCGGTGAGATGGCGGTAGAGTTATGCACGCCAGCCAAGTGGCGTGACGTGGGGTCGTGGAGGAGACAAGCAGCAGAACTGGCCGCTGTGCACCTGGGAGGGGGCAAGTGACGGGGTGGCCTGACGGGAACGTCTGAAGAAGTAAGATTAGTAGTTCGCCGGTCGTAGGATGTTTAAGGAAGGTACAGGAGCTTCATACATTTTACCCTTCACAAAATATTGTAAGGATGAGATGGGTCTGGAATGTAGCATGTAAGGTAAAAGGTAAATTTATCCTTGTAACAAGCCATGATGGTCCATAGGGTTGTGAGACGTCGAGGCTCCCACATTTTGTAGACAATCGGTTCATAGATGGCGGTGAGCTGTCAGCATTACGGGCTGACCGGCCACCCTCTACCCCCAGGAAGATTCCTCGTACTCAATTCTGTTAGAGGTTGAGTCGACCCCAGGTCCATAGTGCGGCTGGAAGGATTAGATCTCAACCCAAACATGGAGCTGATTGATCCCTTCTTGAGAAGTCGCCAATTGTGCAGCTACTGAAGAACTTCCAAGCATTTTATGAAACGCGAAGGTTCATTACCGTGTTCACAAGAGCGCTCCATTGGTCCCTCTCCCGAGCCATATAAATCCAGTCCATACCCACCCTATCCTGTCTCTCTAAGATCCATTTTAATATTGCCCATCCACCTATGCCTTGGTCTTCCCAGTGGTCTTTTCCATCTGGCTTTCCCACCAATATCCTATATGCATTCATGTTCTCCCCCATTCGTGCTGCATGCCATGCCCATCTCACCCTCCTTGACTTGGTCATTCTAATTATAGTTGGAGAAGAATACAAGTTATGAAGCTCCTCATTATGCAGTTTCCTCCAACCTCCTGTCACTACATCCCTCTTCGGTCCAAATATTCTCCTCAACACCCTGTTCTCAAACACCCTCAGTCTATGTTCCTCCCTTAATATCAGAGACCAAGTTTCACACCCGTACAGAACCACAGGCAAAATTATAGTTTTGTGTATTCTAATTTTTACGTTTCTGGACAGCAGACGAGAAGACAGAAGGTTCTGGGCTGAATGGAGCAAGCATTACCCGAGTTCAGTCTCCTCTTAATTTCCTCCTGAATCAGGTTTCCATCTGTTATTGTTGTTCTCAGATATCTGAACTGTGCCACATTTTCCAAACATCTGTTTCCTATCTCCATGTCATGACTTTGCCCTGCATTTTGGTGACGAGACAGCAACATATACTTAGTTTTCTCTGTGTTTACTTCTAGACCAACGTCTTACTTGAGTCAATTAAAGTTTGTGTGTTTCTCTTCATGGTATCTACATTATCACCCAGTAGATTCACATCATCAGCATAAACAAACAGCCGACGTGTCCCGTTTAATTTCAGTCCCACCTGGTTTCCTGGACCTTCCTAATGGCATATTCCAAAGCAAAGTTGTAAAGGAGTGGGGATAAAGCATCTCCTTGTTTTAGACCATTCTGGATAGGGAAATAATCAGACAAATATTTGCCTACACGGACTTCACCATACAAACACTTTTTAATCAGCCTAAGTAGTTTCATTTGTACCCCAAACTCTTTGAGAATATTGTACAAAAGTTCCCTCTAACCGAATCATATGCTTTTTTGAAGTCTACGAATAGCGGATGTACTGTCTTATCGTACTCCCATTTTTTACTCCAGTATCTGACGAATGCAAAAGATCTGGTCGGTAACTAATCTGTTACATGCAAATTCACACTGATGATCCCCAATAATTTCATCTATGTTTGGACTTAACCTTGAGAGAAGAATATTGGATAAAATTTTGTGTTATTTTTTTTATTGCTAGTGGGGTGGGACTAAGTCCCTTGTACTGCGGCCACTTCTGGCCTATTGTACCAGCCCCAGATGATAGGTGAGGGTGATTGTGGAGCAATTGGTGGAATGAAGATTGGCAGGGGAAATCGAAGCACTCGGAGAAAACCTGCCCCAACGCCACTTTGTCCACCACAAATTCCACTTCACTAGACCCGGGATCTAACCCGATCCGCCGCGGTGGAAAGCCAGCGACTAACCGCTTGAGGTATGGCGCGGCCTAAATTTTGTATGCAGTTGATAGCAGTGATATCCCCCGATAATTACTACAGTCAGCTTTATCACCCTGCCTGTGAACTGGTACAATAATAGACTTCTTCCAGTGATCAGGCAATTCTTCCTTATGTCAAATAGAAGCACTTAGCATGTATAGTACAAAATTTTCACTGGGGAACGTAAAGCGAAGGGACTATTTGTGGACGAGAGAATCAAATTGGAAATAGTTGGGGAAGAGTTGGGGCGGGGCTGGAGGGGGTGTCGGGTGCATGCTCTTGAGCATGGAAATGAACCTTGACCAGCTGAGCGACTGTCAGCACGAGAATGTGCTGAAGGGTGCCGTGCACAGATACAAGCAGCCGCCAGGCCTCGAGGTGTGGGCATGGCTCGTTAATTTAACGGGCGTGGCCAGCTCCTATACATATACGTTATTACGTTCTGGCCACCAGGCGCATTCCGTGCCGGGGTTATGCTCCGGCAAGCGCTCGGTGGCGACACGCAGTTGCATCGGCACTTTCTGATTTCACTGCTAATTTGCTATGTTCTCACAGCTGTGGGATGTGACACCCTGTAGTGTGTTCCGTCCGAAACGTCTGTGAACCACTCGACACGACAGTACCCTTCTTCCCCGAAGAAAATGCAAATGACAAGGCGAACACCTGTGTTTTGTGGCGCTACTAAGTGCTGATACATGTGTCGACTCGTTACATTTCGTATGTCCCCAACAAGTGTCACATGTCTTACCTAAGAGTCCCCCCCCCCCCCTCGCGCCCTCACCAGTCTGTTTGCTGTGTGACCATAACCGGATTGTTATAATGCAAAAGGGATCTATCGGCACCGCCATGTTGGTTCCTTGCACGGTGTGATCAGTGCGGGGCGTCGTGTCGGTAAGTAAAGGGATCTATCGGCACCGCCATGTTGGTTCCTTGCACGGTGTGATCAGTGCGGGGCGTCGTGTCGGTAAGTAAAGGAACAGCGGCGACAGTGCACATTCATAAAATTGTTCTGAGAGTGCGGCACCTGTAAGCAATTACATAAGCTCAGATCGGCTTGCGTGAGCTGCCCGCCTACCCCCGCACGCACGTGTTTGTATTTACGCTCCACCAGCATTCTTCCGGGGGTGGAGCACAAAATTTGCTGTCAGAGTTACTCTTAAGCCGTTGAAGACTGTTGTTACTGATCGCTCTGCAGTATTCAGGATAGGAGACTAAGTTTAAAAATAACTGGAAATTCTGGGAATTAATATTTGGTATATTTCATTTTTGCTTTTGACCCTTTTCCCAGTAATCCGAGGGAGGGGGTTGCCCGGCTTGCCTCATCCCCACCCACGCGCAGGTACACGACATCAAAGTGTGAGTGCTGATCTAAATGAATGGACGCAAGTCACTCGCTTGTGTTCGCTGCGGTGTAAGCATGTTGGAGGGACAACAAACACCCGGAAGTCTCTCAGTGTGTAGGCGTTTAAGGAGGCCCGTATACTGCTTGCGTAGTTTTCCTCAGCCCCTCTCATACTCGTAACGACTGGTGTCTGGAGCGTTATGCAGATGCAGTGCTCCACGTGGTTTTACTCTAGAGTGGGTGTGGCCCAGTTCGCTAGCCAGCTGATCACGCATTATCTTGCATCAGTGCGCATGCCGGACGGCAGTTGTAGGCTACGTCAGAGCGGGCCGGCTTCTCGCAGTCGAAGTACGCCAACCGCAGCGACTGCTGTGTTGTGGGTGGGCTACTCAGTTCAGCTGTCGTGGCGTATGTGCGTGTGTCAGGGTCACTTGCGCGTGAAGCCTTGAACCGGTGTGATGTCTTGACGTTCCGACCCCCGTATCGGCGTCATAATGTGTTCGTGCCAGGTTATGTCAGCAGGCAGTAACACACACTGAATTCAACAATGATATTTTTTGAAATAATTGTACGAATTGAGGTTACAATAAAATATCACGCAATGCAAAGGCGAGCTTGCATGTTCCACAGCAATTACCGAAAACTAGAAGATGGACATTCGTCGAGAACGGGAGGAAATCGGTTGTAACGACGTTTCCCAGGACAGTTAGACCGTTTCTGACAGCCATGGAGGCTCCCCTCTGCACTTAAAAGTAACCTTCTTCTAGGAAGCAATTGTGTTGCAAGTTGACTGTACATCGGACATAGCAAGATGTTGTTGCGTCGCTGTAGAACATTTCGCTGGCTGTGGTTGATGCTGGTGTTCCTGTCGGTGTCCATGGGGACTGGCGCCGACTGCACCGAGCGGCATCACCAGCACCACCACCACTACAAGCACCAACACCCGCACCAAGACACCAGACATTCCGCCCAGCCAGAGCTGCAACTTCTACCGTCGTCACAATTAGAGAGAATACCAGCGTTGCCTTCCGACTGCCCGAACTGCATTCAGCGGGAACAGAGGCGCGACAGGACACAGAACAGCGACGTGATCCGTCTAGAGACCATCAAGCGGCAGATCCTGTCCAAGCTCGGCCTCAAAGAGAAGCCCAATGTCACGGCGCCCGTGCCCCGCGAGGTCATCATGGAGACACTATACAGGGCAGAGGAGACGGGGGATCAGCAGGACGGCAGCGGTAGTGACGCCAGAATCATGGACGATGACAGCGCGGGTCCAGCCAGCACGCGGGCCCCGGAATCTGAACCTGACGACTTTTATGGTCGCACATCGGAAATCATCGCATTTGCGGAACCAGGTAAGAATCTGCCTCGGCCGCTGTTACCGCCGCTGCTTGCGGGACCGCCCGCGTATGCAGACGGCAAGCAGGCCCAGTGCTCTGCGAGTTGGGAGAGGCCACGTGCCTGAATTGTTAGTGGACAGTGAATTGGGGAGTTAGGTTGGGGTAATGACCCAGAAATTACCCGGAGGGACTGAAGAAAACCACGAACTCTGTCAGAACGTCCGGTCTCCAGGCGGAGACTTAAAGTGGACACCTCCCGCGTACAAGTAAAAAATGTTAATTACCGCTCAGTAATTTTCCTTCCTTGAGGGAAAAAAAAAAGGAGACTGGCTGTGTAACCCCCCCCCCCACTTCAACTTTTGAACTAGTTTAACCTGGTATGAATTATATGCAGTTGAGGGTCAGTCCAACTTCACAATTAACAATAACAAACATGGCGGAAGTGCGAACCTATGATGTGGGAACCTCACTTAATTTTGGGTTCTTCAGCTTTCAGTTTGATGGCGACAGCTGATGAACCGCTGAAGCTGCGGATAGATCACAGACACATCTGTACACTGATGCGAAAAAGTCACGAACATGGCGACGGTGGGAACTTTCAGTTTAATGTTAGTAGTGTTAATATATTAACAGATCTGTAGGACTAGCAGTCTACGCAATAGGAATGTAGGATTCGTTGAGGTCACGTGCAACTGTATCTGCCTCATTGATGTAAGTGGCTGCCCAAACCTTGTACTTATGTGTTTCATTTCCGCAATAAAACAGTCCTCGCAGAGATGCAGTATTTTCTCTGACTCTGAAATATTAGGAACAGTGCGGCGCGGCGCGTGTACTGCGGCTAGAAGCCTTTGGCTAAGTTCCTCGGTTCAGCAGCTGAAGGGACGTAAGTCTTTTGGTGATCTCAAGAGCCTGAAGGCGTATGGGAGAGTGGAGGGGCGTCGCTCCACGCATTCGTAACTCTACATTATATGGAGGTGAGTAGCGAAGTCCGGACTCACCGATACAGTTATACGGCGTATCCGGAGCCTGCGACACCGTGTACCGTTAAATGAAAAAGTGGCTTAAGAAACTTCCAAACGAATGTCAGTTATTCAGGATGTTTTAATTTCTTGCATCCTGTTATGTATAATGCAATTCTGCTGGCCGTAATTAATAATACAAACAATTTATTTTAATGTTAATATTACTGATATTAATTAATATTACCTGTATAAATGCCATTTAATTATAATAATACTGATATTGGTTTCATTAGGCAGTTCTGTTGATGGTCACAAGAACATGAATGTCTAGTCGCATAAGACAGCGGCGTAGCGTGATATTAATGAAGACGTGACTCCTATCTGCTTGTGACGGCCCAATTAAACCTCTGCATTCTGCTCACGCAGTTTATTTATGTGTCATATAATTTTCACATTAAACAGCTAGTATTTACCTAAACAGCATTAATCGATAGATTCATGTAATGGAGACGCAGTGTGTTTTCTGCACGATAGGAACTGAAGCCCTTGTGCACTTCAGCGTCCCATTGATCCTGTAATGAAATCTGCTGCCCCTTAGCCCTTGACGCCGAGACGGTGCTCTCGAAACTGTTTCTAGCGTCCTTCTGACCGTGGACTGTCCCTCAGTCAAGTGCCTCGTCGTTTTTCTCAGCCCCACTTGGCGAACCTCTTCTGAGTCTGTACCTGCAATGATCATTCGGCGCCATATAACCCATCCAGTTGAGACAGCGTCGTCGCAGGCGTTCCGATCGGCTGCTTTATCAAGTGACGATATTGAGGCATTTGATTAGCGGCAGTTCACTCTCATTGTCTTTGTAGGTTTCTAAGATGGCTGCAACCGTCTTAATTAACCGCGTATAAATGGGACGCAGGTCGCGTACTGGCAGACTCTTTCGTGTCGTCACTGTTCAGTCTTACGAAATCTTAACACAGAATAATTACATTTTCCCCCCACAAATGTGCCACCAACACTTCCGCATGATCGCCGGTCAGAAAATTTTCGAACTCTACGTTAAGAGCACCCACGCGGATCGATCCCCGGTGTCATGACATGCACACCAACGCTGTATTCACATTGCGTCCCCACCGCCGCTCGCAGGAGCTCAGTGCTTCAGTCAACTCACACAGGCTAAGTGGCCGGTTTCCACACTGACCTAACACAACAGGAACATGTTAAGCGGTTTGCTGCATGCCACTACCAGTATGTACGGTAGCCGCGATGTGCACGTGTTGCGGTAGTTTTTGGGTGCGATCTGAATCCTCGTTCCCAATTTCTTAATTACATGAGTGAACTTTAATTTCGTATTCTGTGTTTTATCCCCTCCTGGAAGCTTTAGCTACCGGGCCTATATCATGATATTGACCGGAAGGGCGACTATATCCCGGGGGAAGAACGGGCACTTCTGCCTGTCTGTACTGAATTGTTTTTAATTCGGGTGAAACTAAATTGTTTTTACTCTTAAATTTATGTTACGGCAGACTATACGGCGCCACCTCACACAGCATAGTACCCTTCAAATTTCTAACGTTTGTGCACGGAAACAAGATAATGCTTGATTACAATTTTTGGCCCATTCATAGCGAAAAAGGCAGAGAAATGCGCATGTTTGGCGTCGTTATTTGTATCGTCGCGTCCGTATGCCTGCAACGGCTATAAACATAGTTGAAAAGGACTTTCCTGAAGTTTGATAAACTGTCGATTAATTTCACTAGATTATATCTGTGCAATCCAGTTTTCGTGAAAATCGGACACAGGTCCGTCTGTCTATCGGAACAGATGCGGTTTCTGTGGCCAGTGCAGTTTCTCAGCAAGTCTTAGGCTTTCGTGGCAGTTGAAACGGAGCGAACGCGGTAGAATGTTGACGCTGTGTTCTGTTTCATAACACGTGGTTCATTTTAGGACGCTGCCAGTAGCTCACAGCGTAATGCTAGGATGATTAGCGAATAATTAATTTTAAAGGATGTGGAAGGAGGCGATTTTAGCCAGATTTGAGGTAGTCCCCACGAGGCACCGAGAGAGGAAAGCGACGGAAACATCGGTCAGAATAGCGGATGTCCCCAAGAGGCGAACCCTGTACCTCCGGAATACGGAGCAGGAGTCCTGACCATTCGACCGCAACATTCGGCGTGTCTCAATGTGAAGGAATGCGAACACACTGCATCCAAGTACCCCGCGATGGACAGGTGGACACGCACGCACTGGACTTGACACGTTATCGAATTGTTTCCTTATTCGGTTTCAGTGTGGACCGCAATTGAATTTGTCTAACAGTAGAACCAGAACGCAAGTCTAGACGAGGATTAAGTGCCGCGGCTCCAGGCCACGTTACGACAGAGCGAGCCAGCGGAAATTGTGACATAAATGCATGCTAAATTACAAGCGGAAAGGACGTCTTGTGACAGTTTGCAAGCCGTTCCGTTTATCGGGGGTTCTCTCTGGAAGAGTTAGCATTTAAATTATTCAGATAAAGCAGAAACCGGAGACGGAGTGCAGTGGGGGGGGGCTGTACTTGGCTCAGAAGTTCCGTCAAAGCCATTTTAACCATTTCCAGACAGAAGCTGTTAGATAAATTAATATATTTATTTTAATTCCATTCCTACTTCACAGCAAACACACCGCGTCTCCATTACAAACACCAAGCGATTAATGGTGCCAGAATCATAAGGAACCAAGTCCACAGCACCCCGTGTTCTTACCGCCGCTGTCAACGTTAAGCTCATGTTACGCCGATAGAGCAGTTTCTGCCCGTAATGTCTTCATCCTGCGGGCAGTCGGGCCGTGACATCACACAATTAACAGTTTACCAGTCTGCGTATACGCGGCTGTGTTAAGTAAGCTCGCCTCCACCGCCCCCGCTGCCCCCGCTGCTTGCAAGGCAGAACTACAAGTTGCGGTGCCCAGATACTGCGCGTGGTCTTCACGAAGACCCCCTCTACTCTGAAGACGGATGCAGTAGCTTCCTCCGAAAGCAGACTTGTAGGGGTCACTGCCTTGAGAATTTCAAGCAAACTCTCCTGTAGCCTCGCTGCGAGCCGCGCCTGTCACTGGTCAGTGTAGATGTCACATCGGTAGGGAGAATGGAGACAACTGCGTAAGGGGGGAGCTTCATCACTTGTTCTTGGGGTGATCAAATGAAGGACGACGAGATGAGAGGATACACCTGACGGAAATAGTCTACAGTCCCAGTGTCGATGTACTACGGCACATGTAACGTCACACACTGTGTCTTCTGATTCTTCTTCTGGCCTCACTGCTGTTCCCTCGGAACTTCGCCTCTTACTCACTCCTCCAGCCTAAGACAGCTCGCAAACGACTTTCTTGTCCCCTATACACATTCGGCGCGGAATTACAGAAGACACGTCACGTGATAGCTAAGCACTCTTGGGGTGGACGTGTGTTTACCGAGCCGTTGCCTAGAAGCGGGTTGCATAACCCCCTTCGATTGTTGCGTTTTGGCGGGCGTTGCCTAGCAATGGATTTATATGTCCGAATATTGTGACGTATTCGGGGATTTGCGTGACTAATAAGATGGGGTTTGGATTTGATTGTCGAATGTATTGGACCTTTATACAACAGGTTACAAACAGTTCAAAATCACTATCTGATACTCTGTCGTCTTCTTCCGGCTGGACACTCCACTGGGGCTATTCCGACTTCCAGTTGTTGGCTTCTCGTTATCGGGTCGGACCACCCGTTGCCTAGCAGTGGATATATATGTCATCCCAGTCCACTGGGACTATCTGACTTCCAAAGTCAGAGTCAAAGTCGCATTGCGACTGACGGTAGTCTGTCTGTCTTGGTGTCGAGTCCTGACTGGGGCTCATACCAGATTCCCCCCCCCCCTTATATGAAAGTTACTGTCCTGTCCATTTGGGGCGCCCTCTCTGACGAGAGGTCGGGTCTGTCATTTGTCAGTCATAGTCTGTGTTAGTAAGTCCATTGTCAGTATTTACATATATTTACAAATTTAATCTTAATTCCTATTTCTGTGTACAATATATACAAGACTTGCA